TCTATATAAGTTTAGGGGAACACATGGACAATTCAGGCTGTTTTTAAGTACATGGGTTTTTCCTTTTAGCAAGAGCATTTTGAGTCTTCTGGGTGCAGCTTTGGAGTCAGCCAGGTGTGTGTGAATAGCATGGACCCAATTTGGTCTCCACTGTGTGCGCAGAGAGCCTCAGTCAGGAATATGCTTGCCCCAACCACAAACACAACCACAGCCTTCTCCTGCTCATCTGCATCAGATGTCACTTCTACTGACTGCGCATCTGAATATAAGCATTGCCTACTGTTCCAGATAAAGTGTCTCCCTTCAACCACAATAGAAAAGCTGCCAGTTCTCATGATTTACTCCATCCTAGCAGCACCTGAACATACTGAAGTGGGGCAGTGGTGGAGAATAAGACATAAGAATATACCAGATTCCTGCTGTTCTTATCCAAGTTGAACAGCTCTTCAAAAATAAATGCTTCTCAGATTGTTGTATGCCTTTGGTTAATTTCCAGAGCACAAAATGGTTGTTTATCTTAATTCTGCCCATCTTTATAGCTGTTTTCTTTGGGAGTGGATTTGGCATGCTCTTTACTTGGCTATACCTAGAAGTCTGTTTAGTTTATTTTTAAATTCCAAATAATTTTAGAGAAGGACTTGAGATTTTGGTATCAAAAAAGACATGGGCTAAAAAGAATTCAAGGAACTCTCATCTAACTCCCTCATTTATGTAAAGAGATGGAAAACCCATAGCAGTAAATTAAGCAACCATTTCTGAAATTGTGGTGAATAAAGCTACTTTTGCTAGAACATTTTATCCAAATTCTTTAAAATAATTATTACCATCTGGGCCCTCCCTAGTGGTACAGGGGGTTAAAGCACAGCACTGCAGGCTAGCCACAACCACTACAGTGCCAGTTTGATCCCTAGCCCTGGAGGTGATCCACATGGCACAGCAGACCTCGCCTGTCCAGCCCCCTGCTTCCCTCAGGAGTGTATCAATCTGCTTGTTTTGATCCCTATTCTGTCTCTGTTGAATCCTCTCACCACCGCTGCACCTCTGGCCTATACCATAGTTGTGTATGCATAAATAAATTAATCTTTAAGAAAAATATTACCATCTATTTGGTCAACTCATATGCTGTTTCTGTGAATATATGACTAAGACTTTTTTTTTTTTAAAGATTTATTTATTTGTGCATATAGAACTGGGGTACAGGCCGGAGGCTCAGGAGCAGCGAGAGGCTTCACCAGAGACAGAGTGGGGTACAGAACAGGCAGATCGACGAAGTACACTGCTGAGGGGAGCAGCGGGTGGGTCAGGAGAGGTCTGCCGCGCCATGTGGTCACCTCCGGGGCAGGCGAGGATCGAACTCATGCGGAAGTGGCTTAAGCTTCTTAGTGCTGTGCTTTAACCCGCTGCACCACAAGGGAGGGCCCTATTTCTTTCTTTCTTTTTTTTTAAAGATATATTTTATTTACTTATACATTCAAGAGCTGAGGT